TTTTTCTTTTTCTTTTTTTTTAAGATTTTATTTATTTATTTGACAGAGAGAGAGAGAGCGAGAGCAGGAACACACGCAGGGGGAGTGGGAGAGGGAGAGGCAGGCTTCCCACCGATCAGGGAGCCTGATGCGGGGCTCAATCCCAGGACCCTGGGACCATGACCTGAGCTGAAGGCAGACGCTTAACAACTGAGCCACCCAGGTGCCCCTTGTCTGATATTTCTGCGCAATTAGATTAAGGTTATACATTTTGGGGCAAGAGTACTGCAAGAATTGTATTGTTTTTCTCAGTGCATCATATCAAAAGGCATATGATGCCAACTTGGCTCATTGTTGGTGTTAACTTTGAACACTTAGCAACTAAGGTAGTGCCTTCACTATAAAGTTATTTTTCCCACTATAATTATGAGTATCCTGTGGCAATATACTTTGAAATTATGAAAATACCTTGGTACTCCACAAACTTTCACCATTTTAATATCCATTCATATCTGAATTAACTATTATGATGGTTATCAAATGGCATTTTTCCCCAACTCATCGTTTCTTCTTACATTTATTAATTGGCTTTCAACAGTAAGGAAGAACGTCCCTTCTCTTCCTTCCTTCTTGTCAGTATTAGAATTGTAGATTCTTATTTTATTTAATAGTTTATAGCCTTTTATTGTCAATATTTATTTTGATGCTCAAATTATCCCAGATTTGGTCAGTAGAAGCCCTTTGACTTGACATGTTCTGAACATTCTTTGAACATTTCCTTCCTTTCTTTTTTTTTTTTAAGATTTTATTTATTTGACAGAGAGAGACACAGTGAGAGAGGGAACACAAGCAGGGGGAGTGGGAGAGGGAGAAGCAGGCTTCCCGCAGAGCAGGGAGCCTGATGCGGGGCTCGATCCCAGGACCCTGGGATCATGACCTGAGCTGAAGGCAGACACTTAATGACTGAGCCACCCAGGCACCCCATTTCCTTACTTTCTGGCACAAGATGTTCCAGGTTCATCTTGTAGCTTTCCCTACCTCAGTTGTGTAATTATCCTTTTCTTCAAGGAACCCTGGTTCCTTTTAGTGTAAACTGGTATTCTAAGATCTGGGTCAAAGGAAAGCTTAGTGCTACTAAGGGGTAATTATTTCTACACTCAGTGGGTAGTGGTAGGAAAGATGTATGAATACACACATACATGCCACCTTCACACATCTATATCTCTTCCTTTATCTATATTTATTAGAAACCACAAGTCTATATTGATACCTCCAATTCCAATTCAGCACCACAGGGTTCCTTCTATCCTTTCCCCTTTTCATATGTGTAACTCTCTTCTCTGACAGTGAGAAACTTGGCTCTCATTATCCATAATACATTTATTTGTTTAATCCTAGAATACATATAAGATAGTTTTTGCATTGTTAACTCATACCTCTGTGAAAAAGAAATTTACTAGAGTTTAATATTTATTTACAGTTCATTTTCTCTTTAGCCTGAGAATACTTAGTCCAAATACGTGTTTTAAGTTACTTGGACAGATTAGTGGTTGCCAGGGACTGGGGAAGATGGATGGTGTGGCCATAAAAGGAGAGGGATCCTTGTGGTGATGGAACAGTTCTGTATATCTGGATTGTGCTGGTAGTTATATGAATCTACACATGTGATCACACTGCACACAAATGAATGCATATAAAATGGGTGAAATCTGTATATGTTCTATGGATTGTACCAATGTTAATTTCCTGTTAGTGATATTGTACTATAGTTATATAAGATGTAATCACTGGGGGAAAACAGGGTGAAGGGTACATAGGACCTCCCTGTATTAGTTTTGGCAGCCTCCTGTGAATCCATAATTATTTAAAATAAAAACTGAAAAAAAAGCTACTTGGGCTTGTTCCCCCTCAAACCCCTTCTCTCACCCCAGTTATGTTATTTATTAAAACACAGTTAGGTTAATTTGTGTCTGTATTCCATGTTAGGCCCTCTCTTGTTGATATATCTTTCAACTCACTTCTTGATTTATTTTCCTTTTAGAATATAAACACTAATATGGTTCCCAAAGCCTAAAAGTTATAACTATACAAAGAAGTAAACTTAGAAGTATTATGCCACCACCACCACCATTACCACTTTGGCTTAATACCTTTTCTCCTTTCCAGCCCATTCCTATCCACCCCTTCTACATAAGCAGTTTGATTAGTCTGCCATTTATCTTTGTTTCTTTTTTGACAAATGATCATTATTATGTACATTTTTAAATTTCTCCTTTCTTACAAAAAGATACATATATTTACTATGCATACTCTTTTGTATTTTGCTTTTTTAACTTAACAATATATTTTGGAAATCAGCTCAGAAATTTTGCTCCTATTTTTAATTTTAATGTTTTTACAGCTGCATAATACTCCATTGTGTACTACAGATATTCAACCACTGCCCTGTGTTTGGGCATCTGGGTTGTTTCTAATATTTTACAATTACAAACAACCCTGTAGTGAATATCCTACATATTGTATATTCATACTGTTAGAAGAGTGTCTTCAGGGCAAATTCCTAGAAGTGAGATTGTTGGGTCAAGAGGTAAATGTACATTTAGTTTTGTTACATATTGCAAGATTCCTGATGGGTTTGTACCATTTTGCATTCCCACCAGCAATGTGTATCCGCTTTCTTAAAACCTCTCTAATGGAATGTATTTATTGTACTTCAAAATTCTTACTATTTGGATAGGTGAGAAATGGCATCTTACTGTAGTTTTAATCTACATTTCTTTAAATATGGGTGAAGTTGAACATTATAAGAAAATGAAATTACAGATCAATATTTCTGTAAACACAGATGTGAAAGCCCTTAACAGAATATTAGTACACGGAATCTGTCAACCAAGTACAATTTTTTTATTCCAGGAATGGAAGGTTGGTTTAACATTAGGAAATTAATCAATGTAATTCATCACATCAATGGAATAAAGGAGAAAAATTATGATTATCTCAATAGGCGCAGAAAATATATTTCACAAATTTCAATACCTATTCTTCATAAAAACACTCCACTCAATAAACTAGAAATAGAAGGAAGTCCTCAATCCGACAGAGGACCCCTATGAAACATCTATAGACTGAATGTTTCCCCCCTAAGATCGGGAATGTTTGCTCTTATCACTTCTCCAACATTCTCTTGGATTAACAGTCCATATAATAAGGCAGGAAAAAGAAGCAAAAGGCATATAGATTGGAAAGGAAGATGTTAAACTGTTTTTATTTGCAGACAATATGATTGTGTATGTAGAAAATCCTACGAAAACCACAAAAGAATTCCTAGTAGATATAATAAGTGAATTTAGCAAAGTTGCAGGATTTCTATGTACTATCAATGAGCCACTGGAAAATGATAGGTCACATGGGTTATGCATTTGTCAAAATCCATGGAATACTTACATAAATTAGTTATACAATTTAACTGCATGTAAATTATACCTAAACTTTTTTTAAAAATTAAATAAACCAAGGTAAAGGCTATATAAAGTATATTCTAGTACAATTTGGGTGCTTGCTGATTTGCTCCTTCTGAGTTGTAAAATAGGGTCAGGCTTTATTTAAATTATTTTTGTCAATGTTAAGTCTAAATGTGTTTATAGTTACCCATTCCTTAGATTTCCCATCTTTCATAAGAATCTGGGCTTGAATGAATGGTATGGGATTTGGACCCAAATGAAATACCCCTGAGAAAGTGACAGAGCAAGCATGACATTTATGTATACTTCTTTTGGTCTGACTGCTATAACATATTGCCTCCTTTGAATACTGAATTTGGGATTAAAAGTCCTGGCTTTAAATTTGGGTTCTGAATCGAATTAGCTGTGCAAACTTGGGTTATTTCACTATTCTGAGTATTTTTCTCATTTGTTAAACAGGAATAACATCATAGTTTCATGAAAATGTGAGAGAGTTAATGCGACAATGACAGGCACATTGCAGGGACCCAATGAATGTTTTCCTTAATCTTAGTGGGGTATTTTCATTAAATCTCTATTACAGTACTATTTGATTTGACATTTCCTTCTAATAGAGGAACCTAAACTGTGTAATAGTCTTGGCTGCCAACTGGGAGTTTAGGGGATGGTTATGAGAAGTTAGACACAGAGCTGATGGAGATAATTTCCCCAAGGATCACTATTGTACAATGGCTCTCTCATAGTTATTTCTTGTGCTAGCAACTATTCATGAATTCATATTCATTCATTTATTTTTTTCCTCTAGATTCTAAAATTACTGGTTAAAAGGAGGAATCATTGGTCCCAGCCAAGAACTCTATTTCTTAATCTCCTAAGGGAATACTTTACTAATTCATGCTTAGAGAAACTGAGTTCCTTATTTTTACTGTAGGGGCTTATTCTATAGCTCCAACTGTTTTCATTCTTGGCTCACCTCTTCTTCCCCTAATATTGGACATGCCTATTTCATTCACCCATCAGGCCTTTAGTGAACATTTATATCAGGCTCTATGGTTGAGAATCAGGGAATAGCTGAAACTTGAGGGATGATAAAGTTTTCAGCCAAATGAATAAAGTAAGAAACTGTAGGCTCCAGTTATGGTATCCTGCCTGTTTCAAGAAATTATGCCTTAGTTGCAAATAATTTGTTGAGAACCTCTTTTTTTCAAAAGGTTAAAGAGACAGGAACTCTCTCTCCACCTCTTTTTTTCCCAATTTAACTACTGTTTGGAATTTTCTTTTGAAATTCTGTTCCCAGGGGCACCTGTGTGATGTAGTTGGTTAGGTATCTGACTCTTGGTTTTGGCTTAGGTTGTGATCCCGGAGTCGTGGGATCAAGCCAAGCCCCAGGTTGGGCTCTGCGCTTAGCATGGAGTCTGCTTGAGACTCCCTCTCACTCTGCCCCTACCCACCCACTCTGCTCGCTCTCTAAAATAAATAAATAAATCTTAAAAAACAAAACAAAACAAAACCAGAAATCCTGTTCCCAGAACATAAAACAGAAACAAAACTGAGACTCACCTCTGACTCCTCTCAGGAATGTCCAGCACAAACCCAAACATCATCTCGGCAATTTTATTGGAGCTGCATGTGGGGGTCCTGTCTACCTCTACGGCTATGGACAGCATCCTTTGCAGCTGACACACAATCCTGTGTCCAGAACATAGAACACAAGTGAGTGGGAGAATCTAGCCAGGAGCCACCCGGCTAGCTGGGAGGTCCCCACCCATGTACTAAAGGACATTGTAAAGCACATACTAGGTCAGAGAGAACTACTCAAGCTATCAGCATGCTTTTATTTAGCAATTTCACCTACCTGAATCCCTCTTGCCAGATCATACTATCTGTGGTTGAGCTGTAAAAGCAAGCTACTTTTAAATTCAAAATAGAAACATCTGATCTTAAGGATCTAGAGAACTTTAAGGATCATCTAACCTATAACTTTTCTATTTTCCAGATGAAGAAACAGGTCCAGAATGACTATCAGTTATTCAAATTTCTTTGATACAGGAGAAAATACATATTTACCATATGGTTTTCCTGTCACTGGTTTCTTTACAATTATCTTTTAGTAAGTTCAGTCTCAGAACTTCAACTGGTGGACTGTGACCCTCTGTCCTATCAGACCTGAATGTGGGAGAAAGCCAGGCTGATGTGGCAGAAAGAATCTAGGCTACCCCTCAGAAAGGTGGGCCTGGCCTGAAGTCAGACTTTTTTAACATGCATTTTTATTTGTGAAGGAAGAAAGGGCTCTGTTTTCAGAAAATGTGCAGTCAGTAACACAATAGGTGGCCTAGGGGCTTTGGCATCAGATTCTGGCTCTGCAATGACAAGCTGGTCAACTTTTGACAAATTACTAAATTCCTCTGAGCCCAGGTCTTCTCATCTCTTAAAAAGGGGGAATAATACCACCTATTTCATAAAGTTGTGAGTGCTGTGTAAGATATTTGGTAGATATGCACTCATTAATGGTAAATGGTAGCGCCTATTGTTAACATCATGATAAATTGACTTTTAGAGGGCCTTATTTTTATTTATAGTAATATTTAATTATAATAAATAATAATAATAATTTAGATTATAGTATTTTCTTCCATTGAAGGAATAGTGTCTGCCCCTCTCTTAGGTCTATATACTGAGGTTCTAGGATAACCTTACTTTACAGCCTCCCCCACTCTGTCAAGCAAATACTTTTTTGTTCTCAACATTCTCCCTTTAGATACAAGACTGTCTCTTAAATTAGTTAAAACCCTTAGGCCTTATATGAAAATCAGATTGGTGCAACTAGATTATAAAATAGTGTTGTAAATTTAGGCACAAATGCTGTATTTGAAGTGTCAAGTGTGATGGGCTTTTAACAATATGACTGCCATGGAATAGGTTACTTGTGCAAGGACAGTTCTGGATCCTAAAACCCTGGCATCCCTCAAAAAATGCCCAAACCACTCTCAACCCCATAAAAGAAATGCTAGGAATCTCTTTTCAGTGTGGTTTGAGGTAATGGGACCCTCCCTGGTCTGAGCCATTGCTGTTATAACCTGTTAGAATCTGCAGGTTAAACTGCTATTCTTCTCCCAGGACTGGAGGAGAGACATGAAGGTCCTTGAGGACTAGAGGCTGCTGGAACACCCACTATCCATGACTCCTTCCCTTCCATCAGTGGTCAGCTGAAGTGATGAGTAGCTGTGACCCTGTACTGTCCCTTGGAATCCAGAAAATGGATCCCTTAGCTTTTGTTTCACTTCAATTTTGTGAACTTATGTTCACTTAGTGAAGTCCTATTCATCTGAGAAAGAAAGCATCTGCTTTTGTTTAACTTTGGCATTAGAATTTAGCCTGTAGCCAAACTAAGATAGTCTTTAGTAAGAATCAGCCTATGTTACAAGAGGTTGTTAATTCTGTGGAAACTTCTTTTAGGAATGCTGCTGTTCTCTAAAGCAATAAATCCCGACAGCCCCAGGAAAGACAGCTTGTGCCTGCCCCTTACAGCTGATTGGTGTTCTTTGTCAGGTTGGGCTGGGGAGAAGGATGGCTACTGCTGGCCTTCAAGATTCCTGTTCCGGGAGAGGTTTGATTCCCATTTGGCGGCTGAGTTAATCCTTCTTCAGTTACTACTTTGACCAACCACTTGATGACATCCCTGCAATGGAAAAAAGATAAGAAAAAAAAGTTTAAACTTCTGTCTTATTGTATGGTGCTCAAAACCACAGCCTTAACCTGGGCTCTGAGGCCCCTAGATTTCCCCAAAGGTTACAAAGAGGGTTCTTAGGTGATTTTCAATATTTAAACAAGTCTAATGGAAACCCCACATTTAATTGCAGTAAGCTAATGAAGTATCGACATTTCTCTGAGTTGTTATTGAAAGGTACCTCTGGGGTCAAAGAATACTATCTGTGGCTTCCTGATTAGAAACATGCACTGAGCAGATGGAAAGTTTGACTGGATGACCACAGAGATCCTTGCTGGCTTTCTATGATTAGGTGTCATCTACTAATGCTAATAATTGAGGGTAGAGTATGTTCAATGGAGTCATACTTTATGCAGGGTGAAGGCTTTAAAAGTTAGTAAGGTAAAAACATCTCATATAGTCAAAATTACTTTTGATGATCATTTAGGTAACCCAGTTAAAAATGGTGGATTTAATACACACTTCTAATTTTGTTACCTCCTAAATCCCACTGATGCTAGAGTAAATAATTCTTTTAAAAATCCACAAGGAAGAGGAGAAAAGGAAGGGAGACAATAACAGTGAAATTTTAGAAGATGGAAGGGAAATGAAGTATAATCACAAAATAGAATATTACATAGTAGTGAAAATAAGTAAGCTACAGTGATAAGTGATAGTAGGGACAAACCTTAGTACTCTATAATATAAAGTGAAAAATAAAAGTTCCAACAGATTATGTATAGCATGATATCCTTTAATATACAGTAGGAAGGAACTAAAATATAAACATACACTTTATAGGAACACATTTAGATATAATAAAATGACATAGAGACGGAAAGGAAATGATGAACATACAGAATGCTGATCACTTTGGGTGCAGGAAGGTGCAAAGTAGGTGATAGGCAGATGGATGTATGTTTAGATCCAGGTAATTGTCAAGGTACCAGCCTTTGATTTGGGGGGTGGATTAAGAGATGCTGATTACAAAAATCAAAAGTAACCAATTAACTAGATAAGGCAAGTATGTCATGCTTTAAGGATTTTTTTTTTTTTTTAAGAGAGGGAGAGAGGTGGGGCAGGGGCAGAAGGAGAGGGAGAGAAATAATCTTAAGTGGGCTCCACACCCAGCATGGAGCCCAATGTGGGGCTCAATCTCACAACCCTGAGATCATGACCTGAGCTGAAAATCAAGAGTCGGATGCTTAACCGACCTTGCCACCCAGGTGCCCCTTTAAGGATGATTCTTTTTTTTTTTTTAATTAACGTATAATGTATTATTTGTTTCAGGGGTACAGGTCTGTGATTCATCAGTCTTACACAACACCCAGTGCTCACCACAACACATATCCTCCCCAATGTTTAAGGATGATTCTTAATCTAAGTCTATGACTTTAGCAAAGGGATGGATTTTAACTGACTTAGCAGAATTGAGAAAGCCGAATCCTAAACCAGCAATAGAGAAGAGTAATCCTATTTAATCCTATTTACCAAAAAAGAAAAAAAAATCTTCAATAAGCTGTGCAAATGGCAGTGCAAAGCTTCTCTGAAGGAGAATGAAAGGATATAAGGGAAAATAAGCATAATGGTTTGTAAGCTCTTTTAAGATTTTTTTTTTTTTTGGACAGGGAGAGGGAACACAAGCAGGGGAGTGGGAGAGGGAGAAGCAGACTCCCACCTGAGCAGGGAGCCCGATGTGGGGCTCGATCCCAGGACCCCGGGATCATGACCCGAGCCGAAGGCAGACGCTTAACGACTGAGCCACCAGGCGCCCCTGGTTTGTAAGCTCTTTAAGAAAAAGTTTTAGACTCTAAACAAGTTAACATTGTGGAGAGATAAAACTGAGGGTCTTTGGACTAGGATACCAGGCACAGCTGGGAGGCAAGGGTATCAAAGCACAACAGCGGCACGAAGTGAACATATGCATGCTGAACACAGAGGCCCTTGCTATTTTCCCACACTTGTCTTCCAAAAACTTGGCATCCCAGTCTTTACCCTTTATGTAGGAAATTGGAAGTCTTCTTTGAAAAACCCATCCAGCTCAACCAAGAGGAAAGACCTGAAGACACTGACAGGGTATTTTCTAAAAAATGGGCAGTCAGTTCTACCTACAGGGAAGTACAGAAATGACAAGTCCTCCCATGTACTTTGAGCTTTCATCAACAGTCAAGTCTGTCACCCTTAAACTTGGATAGACTACCAAGGTTTACTAGACATTTATGAAAATGTTCCACTATGAGAGATTAAGACCAAAATAACCAAAACCAATGCTCCCTCCCCACCCCCCCCGCTAAAAAAGTAACTTGGGAGAAAATAAGACTATGCAGAGAATAAACAAAAACAAAAGCCATCATCGGTATCACCAAAGATATGAGAATGTATGGATCCATGAAAGAAGAAAACAAGAACAGAATACTATTTATTAATTTTAAAAAGGAACATTTAGAGACAAAGTAAAAAAAGCCCTTGGAAATTAAAAACATAATAACAGAAATAAAAACTCTATTTTCAGGAATGAAGGAGGTTTCTAGACTGAATGCCCAGAACAATGGATGAATGCAGACCTACAACAAGCATACTGGGCAAAAAGAGGATTCTAAAAATTTTCGGAGGAAAAACTTAGGGCATATACAAAGAATCAGTAATCAAAGTAACTTACGACTTCTTAACAGCAATTGTGGAAACTAGAAGAAAATGGAAAATCTCCTTCAGGGGGGCACCTGGGTGGCTCAGTTGTTAAGTGTCTGCCTTCAGCTCAGGTCACGATCCCAGGTTCCTGGGATTGAGCCCCATATCAGGCTCCTTGCTCAGCAGGAAGCCTGCTTCTCCCTCTCCCACTCCCACTGCTTGTGTTCCTGTTCTTGCTATCTCTGTCAAATAAATAAAATCTTAAAAAAAAAAAAAAAAGAAAATTTCCTTCAATGTTCTGTAGAAAAGCTATTTGTAATCTAAATATCTATACTGCTATCAATCAACATATGGGAAGATAAATATTTTCAGATATTGAAGATCTCAAAAATTTTACTTCCCACATCCATTTCTAAGAAGCCACTGGAGACTAATCTATTAAAATGAGGGAGTAAACCAAGAAAGAGAAGATATAGGGCAAACAAACATACAAAAGATCTAACTTTGGAAACAGATAAAGGAAATTCTCACATTTATGATAAAAACTGGCAAAGAAGACAACCAATCCAGACTGAAGGAGGTCTTTAAGAAGAAGAAGACTACCCAGTGCAAATAAACATCTTGAAGGGAGATTTAGAGCAAATAGAGAATTTGGGGTTAACTTCCAATATGCACAAATAATACAGGGGAACTAAAAATAAGGCAATTATTAACTCTAAGGAAACACAAAGGTATGAAAGAAAGGAAAAGTAATCATAGTTTAGTACTTGGCTCAACTCTGACTAGCACACATAGTCCTAGTAATAGAAACATTGAATATTGATCTGAAGAAAATTACGATATAAGTAAATTAATAGTATGGGGGCTGGGAAATGTGTGTGTCAGGGAGGAGGGAGGGAGGAAAAAAGAGCTAACTTCTTGTCCTTCATGTAGAAAGTCAACAAATAATAGTTAATAAAGAAAAATCAAGAATTAGCAATACAAGGTATTGCTATTTAGTCATACAGAGGTAAATATCCAAAAAATCACATAAAATAGTAAAGTGATTACCCTTGTGGGAAAGGAAAATGCAGGTGAAGGGACTTGGGAACTAGTGTATTTCTTAAATCTTATAGAACTAGTTTATTCTTTGTATGAACAGTTAAAAAAGAAAAGAAAGCCCCATAAGAAAGGGTAATATAGAGAATGACTTGCTGCCTCTCCCTCTTTTTAAAAATTCCCATCTTTGAGATAAGAAATAACAGATGCTGGTGAGGATGTGGAGAAAAAGGAATCCTCTTGCACTGTTGGGAATGTAAATTGGTACAACCACTAGGGTAACAGAATGGAGGTTCCTCAAAATTTAAAAATAGAAATACCATTATGATCCAGTAATCCCACTACTGGGTATTTAAAGAAAATGAAAATGCTAATTCAAAAAGATATATGCACCTGTTCTGTATGGATAGATGTTTTTGTGATTTGTCCCGCATAACCGACCATCTGGACCTGCATGTACACAGGCAGGCTAAGGAATGTTGTTTGTGAGACTCATGCTGTGTGAATAATCTTGGGAGCCTGGTTGTTTGAAATACATTATCTGGTCTCCAGGTCAGAACTGGCCCTTCCGTTCTGGATGCCAAGGGCGACAAATCTTATCTCTCATCCCCTCCTGCTCCATGCTGGGCTGGCTCCCTGAAATGAAATCCTGGAGGGAAGGCAGACACACATAGCCCAGGCTCCTTGAAAATATAGAAACATGATAACATGGAAATACAGCTTGTTCCAAACTGCATGTAGGCAAACAAATGTTTAATTTCAAACCCTGTTATTTGCCCTATAAATATGGCCCTTATGGGAATGATCAGTTGGAAGTCTCGCCTGAGGGGAGGATGCTCTGCCCAGGTTTCTCAGTTGGGACTCCTGCCTTGCTGGAGTTTCCATGGGGCTTCCCCAGCTGATGAGGTTGGATGTTTTAAGTACCTGGTTTGATGTGACTTTGCCTTATTCTCATTTATTGCCTACTATTACCTTCATCTATATGTAGATCCTTTTCCTCTTCTGTTTCTATTAGGTTTCTATAATAATAATAAACTTTTCTTTCCTTTTTGAAACGGAAACATGGCTGCTGAGAATCTTTTGTTCAGAACAGCACCCCTATGTTTATTGCAGCATTATTTACAACAGCTAAGACATGGAAGCCCTAAGTGTCCATCAATAGATGAATGGATAAAGAAGATGTGATATATTTACACGCACACACACACACACACATACACAATGGAATAATAGCCACAAGAAAGAATGAAATCTTGCCATTTGTGAGAACATGCATGGACCAAGACGGTATTATGATAGATGAAGTAAGTCAGAGAAAGACAAATACCACATGATTTCACTTATTTGTGGAATCTAAAAAACAAACAAACAAAACAGAAACGGACTCATAAATTCAGAAAACAAATTGGTGGTTGCCAGAGCACAAGGGGTAGAAGGATGAGTAAAACAGGTGGAGGGGATTGGGGGGTATAGGCTACTAGTTATGGAATGAATAAGTCACATGGATGAAAGGTACAGCACAGAGAATGTAATCAATGATATTATAGAAGTGCAGTGTGGTGTCAGACGGTAGCCACACTTGTGGTGAGCATAGCATGATATATAGAGTTGTCAAATCACTATGCTGCACACCTGAAACTAATATAACATTGTGTGTCAGCTCTACTTCAATTAACAAAAACTCATCTTTGAGGTTTATATACAATAAATTGCCCACAGGTTTTTACTTGATGAGTTTTGATAAATCTATGTATACATCTATATAACCACAACCTCAATCCAATATCCATCTCTTAGTGAATCAAAGATTAACAGGTTTTTCCTCCATCTGAACAGATGATTTTTCTCATTGATAAAAAACAAAATAGAGGATTTGGCTTGATTTAGAAGCCACAAATGCCTATCTTTATTTTTTATTTTTTAAAGATTTTATTTATTTATTTGACACAGAGAGAGAAAGCACAAGTAGGCAGTGTGGCAGGCAGAGAGAGAGGGAGAAGCAGGCTCTCCACTGAGCAGGGAGCCTGACGTGGGGCTTGATCCCAGGACCTGGGGATCACGACCTGAGACGAAGGCAGATGCTTAACCGACTGAACCACCCAGGCGCCCCACAAATGCCTGTCTTTAAACCTTAAACCCAAGATCACACTCTGCATGGTACAAAATAGAAATGAAAGCAACTGACATGACTGGATCAAGTAAGTCTGTTTCTCTCTTCTCCCACTCAATCCAATCCTATGCTCACAAAGCAGAATGGTTGCTAGAGCTGCTCTCATTAATTAAATTGTTATTTTTCTATTTAAAACCCAACTATGCTATCCCTGTGCTCTTCGTAGATTCTCTACTTACTGATTTTCTAATCATTAACATTTAAACTACATAAAATGCCACATCTAGGAAAATGAATATGGCCATGCAAACTAAGCAGGGAAGCTGGCTAATGCTCAAAACAATATGAAGCTTCCTCCTTTTTTTATTAAAGTAGTTATAATAGTATCCCATATTGGCCCATACAAAACTATTTTTAACAAACATGCAAGAACATATGGGAACATAAATATGAATGGAAGAGTTTCAATGATGCTGGTAAAAAAAAGGATGCTGGTACTTTAGTCTGGTGAGAACCATTTCCAAAAAAAGCAAGGGTTGTAGTTTCAGGAGGAAAATTCCAGCCTGAAATCACCACCCTAGAAATCACATTTTCTCCCACTGATATAAGGATATGGTATCTCCCTGCTCTGAAGCTTCCAGAAGCGCTCTCTTGCCCTGATTCTACAAAAAAGAACACATGCTTGCTAGCTACCATTTTGACTGTATTGTTAGCCACATGACCTATTATCATATATTAGTTTTCAGAAACTAGTAGCGACAAATTAGAGTTCTTGAGTTATTCAGGGAGAAGGAAATAAACTGAGGTTCATAAAAGCTGTGAAAAGTTTTACGTAAGTTAAGGTCTCCCCGCCCAGGTCTTCTGAGGCTGTCTGGACAATTCTGAAATACACCAAAGGACATCTGATGGTCTTGAGAAAAACCACGAAGGCTGTGGTGCCTGACACATAGCTGGTACAGAGAGATTTTCTTTTAGGATCATCCATAGTTTTAATAGCTATCCCTGTTACACTATCGAGTGACTATAGTCTCATCCACCCAATGTTCTTGAGCCTTGAGTAGCTGCCCACTTACGGCCCCGACCTCTCGTCACCCCCAGGCTCAGGCGCTGGTTACCTGACATTGTGGGGCTGCTTGTCGCAGGACAGCACAGTGCTTGCAATGGACTGCTGCAGGTGCTGTCGCTGCCTCCTCAGAATCTGCTGGAAGTCATCTTCTAGAGTCTGTACCACATAACGCAGAAAAAGGACTCGCCCAGGCAGATTCTGTCCCTGTGGGAGAAAAAAATGAGAAGTATTTCCTCTCAATTTCCTGATGACAGTGAGTATTGGGCTCTCATAAATATGAAGTCCAAGGGAAGGCCATGTGTCAACAAGTGTGTCTGTACCTAAAAGAAGCTCCTGAGAGAGCAGGCAGTCCAGGTCATTACAAAAGAGGGGAAATAGGGCAGTCTCGGAGCCTGGAGGCTCAGGACTATAGACTTCCTAATTTTAAGAGATAGATAACCAAGAAGTCAGTCTCAGGACAAACCCCAAACTGTGGATATCAAAACAGAGAGACATAACTGGCTCCTAAATGACCCTGTTGAGCTGCTGGATCAAGCAACCATGATGTCCATACCACTGCTAAACTTCCAGTAACATGAGCTGATGCATAGCCTTATTGTTTTTGCAAGTCTGAGTTGGGGTGTTACAGGTGAAATGATCCTAACTGAGAAAGCCCAACCGAAAGCATGTGGGCTTTGATGGCACACAGACCTTATGTATTTATTTTCGTTTGATGTTTTAAACTCAGATCCACACCTTCTTCAACTTGCCCTTCTGAGTCTCAGTGTCTTTGTGATTTACATGGTGGGAACGGTAACGGTACCAAAACCAGTGTAAGCACCTGTGACACAAGAGGCAGACATGTACCATTTGTTGGTTTCCCTTTACTGGGAGACGAGTGCTGGGACCCAGGCCCAGGAGCTCAGGCTTTGAGGAGTCGAAAAATAAGGCCCCAAACCATTTCTGGACTCTTTAGGAACTTTTCAAACACTAGGGGGTAGGCATATACTCTGAGAATATATACTCATGGACTAGGGTATGGTTTAGTCAGCAGGAAAAAGAATGACCATTGTAAGCACAAACAATTTCTTTCTTTTTAAAGAGGTGGGGATGGATAACTTTGTCTTCCAAATGTGTACATTTTTTTCTCTAATCCTTGTTAATTGGTGCAAATGATTTTTTAAAAACCAAGTACTTGTGCTAGATTTATGACGGAAGTCTTCCACTAACACCACTCTCCACTACTGCTTGCCCCGAGTACCCTAGAGGGAAATTTTAAACTCTTTCTTCTGAAAGTTACCCTAAACATCTCTAAAAAGATGCTTTTATCACTATTTCTTGATTTATTAACTTTAGACATTACCTATTGGCTTTGCTATGCTAGATAAGGATTTAACTCACTTGTGCCATTTCCCTGCTTCTCTTCCTAAAATAACTATCTCAATTTATGTTCCATCATCTATAGAGTATCTCTTGACTCCCCACTTGATATAAAGATAAAGATGTTATAGCAACCCTACTATTCTCAGAGATCCTATCCCTTTTCATCTCCTAATCTTTATCTTCTACGCTTTTGTTTTCCACTGTCAAGGCTAATAGACTTGTCTTATGTGCTTTGTATATAAATTGATTCTAAATCTTATAACTAAACAGTGTTTACAGTAAGAGGACTATGTTAAAATTATTTACTATGGCACAGGAGAGAGACTCTACTGGCTATGTTTTTGAGAGAGAGAAACAGCTGGGTTACAAGGCCTTTTCTGTGGGGACTAACAGCCTTCCATGGACTGATGGTGGAAATCCATATAGTAGTATACTAAGAAAATCATTCCTTTCTTGTGAAGCTTTTTGATTTTCCTAAAGTTTCTTTTTTTATCCTCCCTACATTGCCTACAGTGAACATTTTACTTCTTTCAACTCAAGAATGGTGTTGAATCTTGAGAATACCCTTCTTTTCCAATTTTTTTTCATTTTTAAAAACAACTTTATTGAAAAACCTTAAAAATTCACCCATTTTAAATGTACAGTTCAATGATTTGTTGTAAATTTATTGAGTTTGGCAACTATGACCATCAATTTTTAGAACATCTTCATGTTCTAAATGACTCAGTTGGTTAAGTGTCCAACTCTTGGTTTCAGCTTAGGTCATGATCTCATGGGTCATGAGATTGAGCCCCACGATGGGCTTCATGCTCAGCATGGAGTGTGCTTGAAAAGTCTCTTCCTCTTCCTCTCCCCCTACTCATGAGCACTCTCTCATTCTAAAATAGATAAATCTTAAAAAAAAAAAAAAAGAACATCTTCATAACTGAAATAAGATCGCTCATGCCTGTTTACAGTTAATTCCCGTCCCCACCTCTAACTCCAGGTAAACACTCCTCTACTTTCTGGCTCTACTGATTTGCCCTTCTGGACATTTCATATATGCAGAATTATACAATATGTGATCTTGTGTATGTGGCTTCCTTTTACTTAGCTTAATATTTTTTTGAGGTTTGTCCATGTCTTAGCATGTATCAAGAGCTAATTTTTTTTTAAATTACTGAATAGTATTCCCATGTATAAATATAGCACATTTTGCTTATCCATTCAACTGTTGATGGACATTTGGTCTGTTTCCACTTTTTGGCTATTATGAATAATGGTGCTATGAACATTCACATGTAAGCCTTTATTAGACATATATTTTCATTTTTGGGGGGGTCAGTACCTGGAAGTGGAATAGCTGGGTCATATGATAAGTTTATGTTTAATTTTTTAAAGAAAATGTCAAACTGTTTTCCAAAGTGGTTGTACCATTTACATTCCCACCAGCAATGTATGAAACTTACTGTATCTCTACTTTCTTGGCAACATTTGTTATAGCCTGTTTTCTTTTTAAAATTTTTAAAAATTGTGGTAAAAAACATGTAACAGTTTATTATTTTAACCATTTTTAAGTGTACAGTTTAGTATTGTTAAGTATATTTCCGTAGTTGTGCAACAGATCTTCAGAACTTTTCCATCTTGCAATATGAAACTCTATACACATTGAATAATAACACCCAATGTCCCCCTCCCCCTAACCCCTGGTAACCAACATTCTATTTGCTTTAAAAAAAAAAATTTTTTTTTTTTTAATTTAAGTAGGCTCCATGCCCAGCGCAGAGCCCAATGTGGGGCCCAACAGGGGGCCTGAACCCACGACCCAGAGATCAAGACTTGAACTGAAATCAAGAGTTGGAGGCCCAACTGACTGAGCCAGCCAGGTGCTCCCATTTGTTTTTTATATTAATATGACTACTATAGATACTTTGCATACATCAAATTATATATTGTCTTTTTTTGTGACTGGCTTATTTCACTTAGTATCTTGTCTTCATTATGCTACCATCCATGTTGTAGCATATGGGAGGATTTCCTTTCTGTTTAAAGCAGAATTAATATTTCATCTTATCTGTATATACCACATTTTGTTTACCTAGTTATCTGTTGATGGACAGTTCGGTTAGTTCCACTTCTTGGCTATTGTGAATAATGCTGCTATGAACATGGGTGTGCAAATATCTTTTCGAGACCCTTCTTTCAATTCTTTTACATATATACCCCTGTGGGAGTATATGAAGTGGGATTGATGGATCATATGGTAATTCTATTTTTAATTTTTTGAAGAACCACCATATAATCTTCATAGCGGCTATACTATTTTATAATCCTACCCACAGTGCGCAAGTGATCTAATTTCTCTATATCCTTGCCACTACTTATTTTCCGTTAAAAATTTTTCTTTTAATAGTACCCGTCCTGGGGCACCTGGGTGGCTCAGTCGTTAAGCGTCTGCCTTCGGCTCAGGTCATGGTCCCAGAGTCCTGGGATCGAGCCCGGCATCAGGCTCCCTGCGCGGGAAGCCTGCTTCTCCCTCTCCCGCTCCCCCTGCTTATGTTCCCTCTCTCGCTGTGTCTCTCTCTGTCAAATAAATAAAATCTTAAAAAAAAAAAATAGTACCCATCCTGTTGGGTGTGAAATGATATCTCACTGTAATTTTGATTTGCATTTCTCTGTGATTAGTGATGTTGAGCATCCTTTCATATGCTTATTGGCCATTTGTATATCATCTTTGGAAAAATCTCTATTCAAGTCCTTTGCCCTTTTAAAAATCAGGTTATTTTGTTCAATTTTTCCTTTAATTCTGCCAGTTTTGTAGTAAAATGTTTAAATGTTGTTGAGTTATAGGAGTTCTTTATATATTCTGGATATTAACCCCTTATCAGATATGTGATTATTTTTTATTTTTATTTTTTTAAAGATTTTATTTATTTATTTGAGAGAGAGAATGGGGGGGGGGTTAGAGGGAGCAGACTCCTCGCCGAGCCTGATGTGGGACTTATCCCGGGACTCCAGGATCATGACCTGAGCCGAAGGCAGTCGCTTAACCAACTGAGCCACCCAGGCGCCCTGTGATTTTTTTTTTAAAGATTTTATTTATTTGACACAGAGAGAGAGCACAATCAGGGGGAACAGCAGGCAGAGGGAGAGGGAGAAGCAGGCTCCCCACTGTCCAAGGAGCCCAATGCAGGGCTGGATCCCAGGACCCTGGGATCATGACCTGAGCTGAAGGCAGATGCTTAACCAACTGAGCCACCCAGGTGCCCCCAGATAGGTGATTTTAAAAATATTTTCTCCCATTCTATAGACTGCCTTTTCACTCCTGACTGTGTTCTCTGATGCACAGAAGTTTTAAACAACTTTGCTATCGTTCCATTTGTCTATTTTTGCTTTATTTGCTCATGTCTTTGGTGTCATATTAGAGAAAACAATGCCAAATTCAACGTCATGAAGTTTTCCCCTATATTTTCTCCTAAGAGTTTTATAGCTTTTGGTCTGATATCAGAGATCTTTGTTCCATTTAGAGTTAATTTTTGTATATGGTATTAGATAAGGGTCCAACTTCATTCTTTTGCATATGGCTATTCAGTTTTCCCAAAACTATTTGTTGAAGAGACTATCTTTTCCCCATTGAATGATCTTGGCACCCTTGATGAATATCACTTGACCATACTCACAAAATTCTGGGGGGCAGGTTCTCCATTTTATTGCACATGTCTATATGTCTGTCTTTATGAGATTACCACACTGTTTTGATGACTGTAGCTTTTTAATATATTTAAAATCAACAAGTATGAATAGTCCAACTTTGTTCTTTTTCAAGATTGTTTTGGCTATTCAGGGTCCTCTGAAATTCCATC